GTTCAAGGTTGGACATGGTGTTAGGTGATGGGTAGAGATGAGACCAGAGGCATAGTTTGAGGCCATAGCGTCAACCTCATAGCCAAGCTGAGGATTTGAACTTTACTTTAGGGTCAAGAGAGACCTAGCAAAATGGATAAAGCAAGGAGTGGCAAGTCAGACATGTTCATCAGCATGGTTCTCATGGCTCTGGGAAGGGCACGCGCACCGGTACGAAGCAGGATGCATCTGTGTGGGTGACAGTGATAACTGGGGGGCTAACCTGAGAGAGTGCCTGTGCAACTGGGAAAGAGGAAGCCACCTGGGGGCACTCTGAAGTGGTGGGACAGCCAGGGCCCAGCCTGAATGAGGGATGGAAGCCACAGGCAGGTCTCAGTGTGAAGAATAAGACACGGGAAGAGCCACTGGAGGAGGGACAGCAGGACGGCTGTGAATGGACCCTCGGTGAACTGCACAGCACACACTGCCATACGCGTGCTCTGAGCCCTCTCTCGCCTTCTCGTGTCCCCGTTACAGCCAGCGTTCTCCCCCCAGACGTGAGTTCCTGCGCAGCGGGCCACTGCTCCCTGGTCTCACCCCCTTCCACTCTCCCACCTCCCACCTGGCTCAGGTGTGGGGGCCTTGGGTGCTGTCTGTCCTCAAAGCTGCCTTCCAGGCTTTGCTGTTCCCCATGCCAAGAACATTCTTCCCACAGGTATTGCTCCTGCAGCTCCATGAGGTCTCTGTTCAAATGTCACCTGCAGCCCTGGCCTGTGTGCTCAGTGGTTAGAGCATCGGCCCACACATCAAAGGGTGACAGGTTCAATTCCCAGTCAAGGGCACGTACCTGGGTTGCAGGCTTGATCCCTGGCCCCAGTCAGGCGTGTGCAGGAGGTGACCAATAGATGTGTCTCTCTCACATTGCTATTTCTCTCTCTCCCACCCCCCTCCCTTCCACTCTCTCTAAAAATCAATTGAAAAAATATCATTGGCTAAGGATTAACAAAAAACAAATAAACAAAAAATTTCACCTCCAAAAGACCTTCTGTAGCCACCATCTTTGCTCCCCTACCCACATGGCATCCCTACCCCCTTACCTTCTTTATTTATCTCCAGTTTCCTTCTAACATTTATTTCTCAGGTTTTTTTTTTTAACTTCTCTTTTTTTAAATTTCTACTCCCTTTCTACTCCCTGCCCCACAAACAAATAAGCTCAAAGAAAACAGGAATCTTATGCCCAGCTGGTGTGGCTCAGTGGCTGAGCACTGACTCATGCACTAAGAGGTCGCTGGTTCGATTCCCCATTAGGCTGTGGGCAGATCCCCGGTGGGGGTGTGTGCAGGAGGCAGCCAATCGATGTTTCTATCTCTCTCTCCCTCTCCCTTCCTCTTTCTCTAAAAATCAATAAAGAAAAAATATTTTTTAAAAAAAGAAAACAGTAATCGTGTATTTGTTTTTACAACTTCGTCTTTAGTACCTAAAACATGACCTGGCAGAGTGGGGGAGCTAAATACATTTGTTTAATTAAGTAACTAGTTAATATGGAGCATGTCGCGCTAGATGTAAAACGTTCAGGTCGAGCCTCCCAGCAGACAGCTGGACCAGGAGCACTGCGGGCCACGAGGCAGAACAGAGGCAGAGACGGTGCAGGCTCATGGGATGAGCGGGATAGCAGCACAGGCCTCCCCGAAGCACCACCTCACACAGGGGAAGCAGGACAGCAGTTCCCAGTTCAGACCCCGCGGCCAGCCAGCCTGGGCTCAAATCCTGGTCTTGACACTTCATGCTTATAAATCTTGAACAAAGCTTTAAACCTGTCGGGGTCTCAGTGGCCTCATCCCTTAAATGAGGTTTCAATAACACCTGCCTAGAAGGCTGTGGGGGGATGTACACGAGCAAACACATGTAAAGCACTGAGAACAGGGCCAGACGACCTGGCACGTGGAAGGACGCAGCGACTGAAAGCCGGGCGTGCGGCAGCGGGGGGCACCCTCTCTGGAGAAGAGGGCTCCGTTCGGACATCTGGGAGCCGGAGTATGTTTCTGATGTGCGTTCCTCGCGTCCCTGTGCTCTGTGGCGGCCAACAGCGGTTCCCAGCTCATCGCTGACTCCGCTTTGCTTGCTCTATGGTTCTTGGGTGTTTTGAACCTGAGCGCAGCATGCTGGGAGGCGTACAGCGCCACGAAAGGAGCACGGACCTTAGAGTTAGGGAAATATGGGCTTTTGCTCCAGCTCTGTCACTTAGCGAAGTAACTGAGTCTCTCCTGACTCTTGAAAGGACAAGATTTCTACCTTGAGCCTGAAGAAGAGGAAGTGCTGGCTGTGTGTCTGTGGAATGAATGGGAATGAATGAATGACGCCGTTGTTGGTGTAAACATCAGAGTGTTCCTAAGACATGAGCACAGCCCTTGGCACACTGGGAGGGTCCATAAACAGACCACCGAGTCTTGGTTGATGATTGGCAGCTGGACTGGCATTCCTGTGACCAAGGCCTGTGTGAGGAACCTGATGGCAGGTCTGAACTTTCTGTGTATCCATGTCATGAAAAAGTGTTTTCTCTTCACCTTTTAATAGAATAGATTTACTTTCCGAAGGTTTTGTTGAGGCACTGAGCCTTCTCATAAAGTGCACTTAAAGTGATTACATACTGGTATCAGGTTCTGTGGGTCTCGGAAGCTGAAAGAGAAGCCTTGATGGTGGTTCTGTTTGCACTTGCGTGTCCTTTGATACCCCAGCTACGGCTGGTTCGGAGCTCAGTGGCTGATAACCTCTGGTGTTGATTCTTCGTGTGCTCCTCTCACAATACAGAAGCTGCAATGGCTCGGCAGTTGCTTTGTGACAAAGTGCATAACCATGTGCCTGCAGTTTGGTGTCTAGGAAAATATGCACAGGGCTTTCAGACTGAGTGCATCTTCTGGGTTTGCCTGTTTTAAGGGTACTCCTTAAATTTTTTTTCCTGATTACAAAAGAATACATGGTCATTTAAGATAATTTGGAAATCTAGAAAAGCTGAAAAGATTAAAACCCTACCACCTCTGAGTGGTAACACTTCTGTATGAATCCTGTAAATCTTTCCAGATGCCACCTCCCTGGAGAGGAGTGGATGTGTGTGAAAATAAAATTCAAATCATACTAAGCATGATTACGGAACCTGCTTTTCAAATTAACTAATGTGTGCATTCATTCATTCAACCAAACTAATTAAAACCTACTGGGTGCTGAGCACTGTACATAGAACAGAGAGAGGCTGAGGGAGATCAGCACACACACACACACACACACACAATCATTACAATAAATTGCGAGAAGTATTAACAAAGGTACCCATGAAGTACTACAGGTACACATGACAGGGAGCAGAGACAACTCTCTGAGCAGCAGGTGTCAGGGAAGCATCCTACAGGAGGTGACACATGAGCCGTTACTAACTGGTAACACACAAGTTCCTTGAGGAAAGAAGGAGGCACGTCAGCAGAGGCTGCAGCAGGAAGGCCCAAACCATGAAGGTGCACAGCTAGTCGGAGGTCCTGCAAAAACCCCGTGTGGGAAATAATGAATAGGGCGGGGAGATGGAGCTGGACATGTAGGGTCCCGGCAGGGAACAGCCACTGTGGGATATGAAGCAGGGACTGACATGCTCCAAGTTATGTCTTGGTTAGAAAATGCACTGCACACCTGAAACTAATACAAAATAATATGGAGTGTAAACCAGAACTGAAAGAAAATGTACCGCAGCTTTAAGCATTAGAGGGGCAAAGAGGAGAACCTGAGCAATCATGAAAGGGCAGATCAGGTGAAGTCCAATGAGAATGGAGATGAGAGACACTGTACAGGAACTGACAGTGACCTGGGCAAAAAGAGACCTGGATTATAGATGGAGAAATGCCTCTTTCCTCTCTCCTCCTACGGTTCCTGAGAACCAGCCATAAAAGTGCACCTCAGCTGCTGCTGACCCAGAGGGGATGTGGCCCATTCCCATACCCGAGAGCATACATTCTAGTAGGCGGGGATGGGTGGACATGTAGTGTTTTTGCTTGCCCGGCATGCCTTCCCCTCCTTCTTTGGGAACAGGACCCCAAAAGATGGTTCTCCTTTGAGAAAACCATCCATCTCTGACTCACAGGTCACACAGTTTGAGTGGGAATGGTCATATTGCAACCCCACGTCCAGAGTGGGTACAAGGACTGGGCCAGGCAGACGAGGGCACCTCGCTCCACCGGACACAATGGCTGGTTCAGAGATGAGCACAGGACTCTGAACAGGCCAGTAAGTCAGTGCCAGGAGAATCAAACAGAGCCAGCAAAAAAGAAATCACTACATTCTTCTAAGATCCCACGTGCTTAAGACCACATGCCCCTTGGGCTGCCAGAGCCTCCGCTGCTATCAGGGGAGAGCCCATCCAGCATGAAGCCACAAAGAGGAAAAGTCAACCCAAGAAACACAGACAGTGCTCAGATATCTTTTGAGCAGCTGGATTCAACCAGTTACTCCCAGACATCTAAGGTCAGTCAGTCAATAAATCCCCTTTGTTGCACAATAATTTTCTTGGGTTTTCGTCCCTTGTAATTGAAAGAGTCCTGACTGATTCAGAGAGAGTTGCGGAATCCCATAACTGCAACCCAGCGTGATGGATACAACGGGAGTGTTGGCACGGAGAAAAGGGCAGTCGGCTCTGCGTGCAGGTAAGGTAAGCAGAGGCAACTTTCACAAAGAAGACGATGCTCAAGCGAAGTCTTGAAAAACCAGCCACCTGGCAACAGGGTGTTCAACGCAGAAGAAATGGAGCGAGCAGAGGCTGCAGTAGAAAAGAACCCGGCCACCGCGCTAAAGCACCAAGTTCACAGCAGAAAGCAGGTTGTGAAGGAACCGATATCGTCTCTGGGTAGTGAGGAGTCACGAGACGACCAAATCAGACCATTTCACTTCTCATTGAACCTCTCTAGACTGCAGCTGCTTCATGATAAACTGAGGTAGATCAGAACAAATCACTAGATACCAATAAAAGTATTGAAAGACCTTACCTGCTGATAGAATTCATCATCTTTGGGGGTCAGATAAGGAAGCCAAGTGTCTTCAAGCTCTTCAAGGAGCCTCAGTTTCTGTTTAAAAATAATATTTATTATTGGCGACTGGCTATAAAATGACCCAAAATATAAGACAAACCCTTATTTTTACAAAAGACAAAGAATACCAAAAAAAAAAATTTAGCCAACCTGAATGTCTAAGCTTTCACATAGAAATTAGTCAAATGCCAATTATAAAATGTAGTAGTATAATTACACACATTTAAATCACACATTGTATAAAGCATTAATTTAGAAACAATGATGTTATTCACTGTCACATTTCTTGAAACAATGTAATTAACTCTTGACAAGTATCTTTAACATCAAGGTCCTTTGCCTCACTAGAATGTCCTTTTGAGTCACCTGATACAGTTTCCAGAGCAAATCTTCCTGTGTGTACAATCCCCCGAGACACAGCAGTTTGGGGATTTTTCCATGATACCACCACTGGGATTATCAGACCAAATTACAAGTATCCATGTGCATAATATCAGGACCTTTGGAATATTAATTCATCCTGTAAATTTTCATTTGATACCATATCCACTTACATTATTACTTTTTTTTTTTTTAATCCTCACTCACAGACATGTTTGCATTCATCTTCAGATAGAGCGAGAGGGAGACAGGGAGGAAGAGAGAGAGAGAAACATGGATGTGAGAGAGACACATCAACTGGCTGCCACCCACACGACCCCAACCAGGGCTGGGGACAAACTGCAACTGACGTACATGCCCTTAGCAGGAACTGAACCAAGTCTCTCTGGTCCATGGTCTGACACCCTAACCTCTGAGCCAAACCGGCCAAGGTGCATTACTAATTTTTAAAAGTGATATTTCACATTGGCCAGGTAGCTCAGTTTATTGGAGTATCATCCTGCACACCAAAAGGTTGTGGGTTCCATTCCCACTCAGGGCACAAACCTAGATTGCAGGTTGGACCCCCAGTCAGGGCACATACAGGAGGCAACTGATTGATGTTTCTCTCTCACATCAATATTTCTCTCTCTTGCTACTCCTTCCTATCTCTCGAAAAAAAAATCAATAAAAACACATATCTCCTAGTGAGGATTAAAAAAAAACAAACTGTCTTTATTTACATATGACATAAGGACCTGTACAAAAAATCCTACAGGATCGACAAAAAAACTATTAGAACTAATACATTCAGCAAAGTTGCAGGATATAATCTGGATAGCAATGTTACAAGATCAATATATAAAAATCAGGTATTTCTACATACTAGCAACCAAGTATCTGAAATTAAACTTCTTAAGAATACCTTAAACAGTAACATCAAAAACTATAAAGTACTTAAAGATAAATCTGACAAAATATTTTCCATACTTATGTTTTTTTAAATCCCCATAAAACATTACTGAAGGAAATTAAAGAAGTTCTACGTAAATGAGAGATGTACTATGTTCATAGATTAGAAGACTCAATGTCAAATTGTCCCCAAATTGATGCAGTCCCAATCCAAGATCCCTATAGGCTTTTTTGTGAAAATTGGCACACTCCTAAAATTCTTATAAAAATGCCAAGACCTAAAATAGCCAAACAACTTTGCAAAAGAATAAAGTTGAAGGACTTCACTCTAAAGTCAAGACATTATAAAACTACATAGATCAAGACAGTATGCTATTGGCATAAAAGTAGACAAATATATAAATGAATAAAATAGAATCCAAAAATAACCAACTGATTTGTGGTAAATTGATTTTTGATGAAGATTCAAAGTTAATTCAATGGAGGAAGAAATTCTTTTCAGCAAATACTACTTGAAGAATTAGATAACCACATTTTTAAATTGAATCCACATCTTGTACCATATATAAAAATTAACCCTAAATGAATAAATATATCACTGGAAAATCTATAATACTAGTAAATAAATATAAAAAATATAAATATAAATATAAAAGCTAAACTATAATACTAGTAAAAGAAAACAGGAAATTCTTTGAGGTTAGGCAAGGCAAAGTTTTTTAGCTATAAAACCAAAAGCGCAAACCATTAAAAACAAAAAGTGATAAACTACATCAAATTCAAGAACTTCTATTCTCAAAACTCTTAAACACTAGAATTCTTACAATGGTCCAACCACTTTGAAAGACAATCTGCCAATTTCTCAAAAAGGAAGACACATACCTACAACCTGACAGTTTGTATCCACACGAAAACCTGCACCTACATGCTCACAAGCAGCTGTATGTGTAACTGCCAACAACTGGTACAAGCCAGATGGCCATGAAGTGGATAGAAAAAGATATGTAGTATATTGAAAAAAATAAAGAAAAAGAAATTATGGTATAGCAACACAAAAAGTCACTACTCAACAATAAGAAGGAGTGAATTATGGATATATACAACAACATGAAAGAATTTCAAAATCATTCTGCTGAGTGAAAGAAGCCAGGCAAAAACAACTGTTTAATCCAAATATGCAAAATTCTAGAAAATGTAAATGAATCAATAGTGACAAATGGCAACAGGTGGTTGCCTGGGGCCAGGGTTGGAGGAAGAGGGAAGTATTACAAAGAGGCACAAGAAACTACCTGGTGTAATAAACATGTGAGGTGCCTTGATTTTGATGGTGGTTTAACAAGTACATATACATTTCAAAACTTAACAAGTTGTACAATTTAAATATGTACAGTTTATGGTATGTCAATTATACCAATAAAATTGTTCTAAAAACAGGGAAGGAGGAGAGTGAGGATTACCTATATATGGTATATCTTACCAGCAAACTGGACCCGGTGTCATTGAGGGAGAGACTTCTGATTGCCATTCAGTTTCTTTCATGGCTTTAGTAACACTTTTTACTACCTCTTATGACTATTTAAGTAATATATATTTTTCTAGATATATATTCATTTCATCTAAATTAGTTCTCAAATGAATCATATTTTCTTGTTATTTGTAGAAACCAGTAATACAGCTAGTTTGGCTCAGTAGTAGAGCATTGGCCTGCGGACTAATGAGTCTCAGGTTCGATTCTGGCCAAGGGCACGTACCTCAGTTGTGGTTTGTCCTCGGTTCTGGTTGGGGTCATGCGGGAGGCAACCAGTTGACATATCCCTCTCACATCGATGTTTCCCTCTCTCTCCTTTTCTCTCCCACTCTATCTGAAGATAAACAGAAAAATATCCTCGGGTGAGGATTTTAAAAAAAAAGAAAACAGTAATACAAACAGTGTCCTTTTTTGAGTCCCTAATATTATATCACACATGGCTTACCTCCTCCTTCTCACATTCTCATTAGTTATTGTTATCGAGTTTTAGTTTTATATTCATTTGTAAACAGAAAAAAGTAGTATTTTAAACCAATAATTAAGTGAATTTTTCAACACATTTTAATAAGTTCTATGCTCATTCTTGTTTCTTGCAATAAAAACCTTCATTCTGGGTTCACTTTTCTTCTTGCTAAATTAAAATATGGTAACTCTCCTAATTTTTTTTTTTTATTCACTGAAAATATCTATATTTTTCTTTACTCCTGAATCAAAGACTACCTGGGTTCTGAGAATTAAAATGAATGGTAATCTTCCCTTAGCACTTTGAAGATTTTATTTCCCTGTCTTCTAGTATCTGTTGTTAGTAATAAGACTCTTTCTTTTACTGATAATCTGCATTGTTATCTCTTGACTTTCTTAAGAATCTTTTTTCTTCATATCCCTTATATTCCACAGTATCAACATAATGGTACTACCCAAAGTACTTGAGGCCTTGTGTTTTTCTATAAATAAGAAAAATTCTCAACTCTTAGCTCTTCAAATTTTTCTTCCCCATCATGATCTTCATTGTCTTCTGCGGAAACTCCATATGTTGGAACGTCTCAATCTATAATCCAAGTCTCTTAAATGTTTTCTCTCTCTTGTTTATTTATTTATTTATTCATTTATTTCTTTTTTAAAATTTGTTGATTGATTTTAAGAGGAAGAAAGAGAGAGAGAGAGAAACATCAATTTGTTGTTCCACTCATTCATGCCTTCACTGTTTGATTCTTGTATGTGTCTTGACCAGAGATCAAACCCACAACCTTGTTGTATGGGGATGACGCTCTAACCACCTGAGTTACCCAGCCAGGACTCCTCTTTTATAAAATGTTTTTGTCTTTTTATGCTACATCCTGGCTGAACTCCTCAGTACTCTCTTCCAGTTCACCAGTTCTCTAAATAGTGTGAGGTCTAAAATCCATCCCATCTATTGAGTTTATTATTTCTATGGCTGTACTTTTCATTTCCAAAATTTGTAAATGGTTCTTTTTCATGTATAGCTAGCTAGTCCTATACCATTTATGCATACTTTGGAGCACTTTTAAATCTCATTTTTATCAGTGGATATCTTTACTTATCCCTTTGAATTTCCTGAACATGCTTATTTTAGTCTTTGACTAACTTCTCTATAAAATTAATCTCATCTGGAATGACCTTTTGTTCTCATTGTTGATTCTCTTCGCTATCTGCACTAGCATTTATTTTCTTCAGGCATTTTCATCTTTTGTTTTGAAGGCTCATTCTGAGTGGATGACATTTTTGCCTTTGCTTTTCCCTTCCTCTTGCTCTCCATCTATGCTCACCCTTCCCCCAGAGTGGTTCAGCAGGTGCCTCCACCAGCATCCCAATACCACCAGTCCCGGACCAAGCCTCATTAACTGGTGATTTGGAGCATCTCAGTCTCTTCCCCAATACTCCACAATCAATCAGACTCATTCAGTTTCTATTCTTGAAGGTTTACCTTTCTTATCCTGCCCTTCAATACCCATCTCTCTATATAAGTATTTCCCTGACCTGATGGTCTTTTCTCAGTCTCCTATTATGAGAAGTACAACTTCACCTCCACCTCTGGCTTCACCGTTAGCCTAGTCCTGCCCCATCTCCAGTGGGGAATGTTTGGTCCCTATTAATTCATAACACTTAAACTCACAGCTGCTACTTTTTGTTTCCACACTTGAAGCCCTTGCGGGATCATGGTTTCAATCCATTTATCCCTGCCTGGTATTCTCCTTTCTGTTCACAACAATACCCT